ACGTAATAACTGCTTTTGTAATATACCATTAAACATCAGATACTAATAAATACGTGTTATGAGCCTCCCTGAAGTTGCTGTGAGTTTTAGAAAGTGGATGAATTGTCTGTGGTGGTGAAAACTGCCTTCCTTTCCCCCCACTTCCACCTCATCAGAACAATCTTCATTTGAACTTATTAGCCTCTGAGGCATGAGACAGAGATATTCTTATTTCCCTTGTATAAATCCATGGTATGCCCACATATGGAATACTGCGTACAGATGTGGTCTCCTCATCTCAAAAAAGATATACTGGCATTAGAAAAGGTGCAGAGAAGGGCAACTAAAATGATTCCAACTAGGGGTTTGGAACGGGTCCCATATGAGGAGAGATTAAAGAGACTGGGACTTTTCAGCTTAGAAAAGAGGAGACTGAGGGGGGATATGATAGAGATCTATAAAATCATGAGTGGTGTGGAGAACGTGAATAAGGAAAAGTTATTTACTTGTTCCCATAATATAAAAACTAGGGGCCACCAAATGAAACTAATGGGCAGCAGGTTTAAAACAAATAAAAGGAAGTTCTTCTTCACACAGTGCATAGTCAATCTGTGGAACTCCTTGCCTGAGGCGGTTGTGAAGGCTAGGACTATAACAGGGTTTAAAAGAGAACTAGATAAATTCATGGAGGTTAAGTCCATCAATGGCTATTAGCCAGTATGGGTAAGGAATGGTGTCCCCAGCCTCTGTTTGTCAGAGGGTGGAGATGGATGGCAGGAGAGAGATCGCTTGATCATTACCTGTTTGATTCACTCCTCTGGGGCACCTGGGGTATGTCTAGATTACATGGCTCCGTCGACAGAGCCATGTAGATGAGGTTTCTAGACATAGGGAAATGAAGCGGCGATTTAAATAATCGCCGCTTCGTTTACATCAAAATGGCTGCTACGCTGTGCCAATCAGCTGTTTGGCGGCACAGCGCGGTAGTCTGGACACTCCACGGTCGACAAGGGAAGACCTGTTATGCCTTGTGGAATGAGGTTTACCAGGGTGGTCAACGGGGGCTTCCTTTGTCGACCGCGGAGCGTCCAGACTACTGTGCTCTGCCGCCAAACAGCTGATCAGCACAGCGCGGGCAGCCATTTTGATGTAAATGAAGCAGCTATTATTTAAATCGCCACTTCATTTCCCTTTTTCGAGTACACTAATCTACATGGCTCAGTCGACGGAGCCATGTCGTTTAGACGTAGCCCTGGTGCTGGCCGCTGTCGGCAGACAGGATACTGAGCTGGGTGGGAGATTTCTTATGTTCTTATGCATGTGAGAGAGGCAGCACCTTTGGCAGCGTAGAAGGCTCTTCAGTGAAGGTTTGTCCTACCTGAATCCTGTCAGAACACCAGCCAGGACCTGGAGAATAGAGGGACTGAGGTGAACCAAGTAGCACTGAGCACAGTGCCAGCCTAGCGTACTGAACACAATGCCCTTGCTTTCCTCGTAGTGGATGGGGGCCACACCCTGAAAAGAATCTCCCCGGACTCCTCTTTCTGGCCTTCACACTACACCCCAGCCTCGCCAAGCGCCCTACAGACCAGGACCCACCTACTCAAAGAGGCACCAGACCCTGCCAGGACACCAGATACGGACCCTGTTGGCAGCAGGATGGAGCCCAATGAAGTATGAGAGCACCCAGACTGTGTAGGGGACCCTTTGCTGCAGCGGGAGGTAGGGTCACCCAGAAACTGCGTAACAACTAAGGCAGTGTTTCTTAAACTTTTTAAGACCAAGGAACACCAAACAATATTTTTTTTTTAATGAGGAACACCAGGGATTTTTTTGTTGAGCCAAAACAACAACAAAAAAAGCTTGCGCCTTGAACACCGCTTTTACACTCAACAGCAATATTCGCTCACTGCCTTATGAAGTCTCCTAGACTTCTGCCTTTTTGCTAGGGAAATGGAATTTACTCTGTTTACTCATATTGGTGGAAGTGATACATTTAATACCTTAACAAGCACGGATTAATGTCATGCAGCTGACTGACAGCAGCCATAGCAGCCACGCCAGCATTAGGGGCAGGGAGGGCCTTACCCTGCCCCGCAATTCACAGTGGGTCCCTTACTGCTTACTGTTTTGTCCTTCAATAGTTCTAGCCCCTGGCTATGTTATTTTTGACACAAAATACTGAAGGGAAGGGCCTTGTCTGTGCAAGACAGTGGAAGGTGCTGGCCCCCATCAGCTGTCCTGGGTAACAAACGAGGGCTGAGACAGCAGTGCAAAGAACTGGTCAGGGTGGCAGCTTTAGGGCAATTCTCTCCCCTGGCAGGCAGGATCCCCAGATCAGCAGCAGAGACAGCCAATCAGAACTGGCCCTGCAATGCTCCTCCACTCTGGCAAGGGGCGCAACCGAGGCGCGGAGCTTTCCCAGGCGGTTGCAAGCCGGGCGCAGAAGCACGTGAGGAACGTGGCTTGCCCCGCCTCATTTCCAGCCTCGTCACCGTTCACTCACCTCTTCGCACCACCTGCTGCATCTCAGCAGCTCTCGCAGCCGTTTCTTTTTCTTCAAACAGCCACGGCACACCTCTGAGTTCTCCGTGGAACACAGTTTAAGAAACAAGGCTCTAAAGTATTCCTAGTTATTACAAAGTATTTCACTGATCACTGAGAATGAGATCAGTATATCGCTGTGTGAGTTTCACTATTAGAAAAAGCCGACCACTAAGGAAAATAAAAAACACTTAAAAAATTGTATTCTGCAAGGAGCACAGAATTACATTAAACTTACCCCAGAGGTACTAATCCAGAAATTAAAATCCCTCTGCCAACTCCTTAGAAATCCCATATGTTCTGTGTCTAAAGCTTCTTGGGTTTGGGGTTTTTTAATATTTGCCTCAGTCAAAATGACCCTTTCATTGGTTGTATTGCACTGCTCTCTGCTGGCATTATGCTGGGATTTTCTGTAATATTGCAGCTGAATAATGATAATGACCTACAGCCTACACTTGTTTCTTGACCCCACCAATTCTCACAGGCCAGCAGGGTAGGCCTGTAGGTACAAGTTGAACCTCTGTAGTCCAGCACTCTCTGGTTTGGCAACTTCCATGGTCGGGCGTGATTTTAGTTAGCCAGATGTCCACTTATCATGAGTGTGACCAAGTTTCCCGCAATCCCATAAAGTTTGTTTACAGCCACCAGTCCTGGCTCTCAGTGTTCTGTGGTGTTGTTTAGCTCTAATTTACCCCTAAATGTCTTCTAACAGTCGAGCAAGCAGTGGAAGTGTTGATGATGCTGCTAGACAATATTGAACTGCTGTGACTCGGCACATTTTCTGGTTCAGGTCCCGAGGGTGCCGGACTAGAGAGGTTGAACCTGTGGTCAAACAGGAAACTTCCCAGATACAGTAACAAGCTATAGGATTATTTGCGTCAGTGTCAAGCTCCCAGAAGTGCTGAGCTTTTGAAAAAAGAATACATTTAGGGGGTGGGGAGTTATTTTCCTTCTGCTTTGCTTGGCCACATATTCAAGTAGAAGGGCAAGAAATGTCCTGTTTCTCTGAAAGTGGAAATGCTGGCTCAGCATGATTCCAAATACCATATGACACATGAAAAAATAATGAGGGTTGGCAACAATGTTGGTGATTCTATCTGGGTTAGCCCCCAAAGCAACCCTTCCTCCCCCTGCATGATTTTCAGGGCACTGTCTGTCCAAACTTTGTCTGATTCAAGGTGCCGCCTTCTTAGCGGATAGGGAACTTTCACTCATTGGAGATGCTGTTTATCCGCGGCAGCATCTTTAAGGCAAATGCCGAAGCAATGTAGCCTCCTTGCAAATCAAGCCTGTCTCAGGAGGTTGATTTCTAGCTAGGTCCTTAAGACAGTCTGGTTGCATGTTCAGTCTATGTCTGTCATTGGCAGTCTTACCACGGCACCATCTGATTACTTACTGCATAGCTCCAATGCACCGGATGCATTTTGCCCATGAAATGTTAGTCTTTGAGGTGCCAAAAGGACTCCTTTTTGTTTTTGCAAATACAAACTAACATGACTACACCTCCATGACTTGACTGCATAACAGCATTCTTTGGTAAACATGCTTTCTTAGGATTGTCTTGGTCTTCCATCTTAACAGGAAATGTTTCTCAGCTGAAATGTAAAACTGTGGTCCTGGGTCCTGGTGGCTTCCCAATATCTCATGGCTCAGCCACCATTCCAAATTGCCTACGTACAGTTTTCCTGATTGAAATGCCCTTCTTTGCCTGCAGGTCGACAATCCCCCCCAAAAACAATTATCTTGTGCCCTGGCTAATACGGTATTGGCCTGTGAATATTGAAATGATTTGGGATGTCACTGCATGCATGTGCATTGTGTAATGCCCACTAGAATGTGCAGCACTGATGTGACTTAGCCCATTTTGATGCCAGAGTAAGTCACATGGGTGCATGTGTTTGCATCAGTGTAACTGCTTAGTGTAGATAAATTCCTTGACAATTGCACATACCCCTCAAAGTCAAGTTTGCAGACAAGGGTCAGCATACGCAGGTGTAAGCAGGATCTGAAGGAATGCATCCCTTACAGCTAGCTAGCAGTGAGGAGAGGCCCTGGGTGTGTCTATGTAAATACAGTTTGCTCCTGCTTTGTTTAGATTTCTTAGGTTTTCAGCAGTTGGGGTGGTATTTTGCTCATTTTGATCAACTTAATTTGTGACCCAACACTGATGATAAGACAGCTAAAATATGGTGACGAGTGTCTGTCATTTTGTGAGAATACAGAAAAGTAGGACTGTGCTAAATTGTTGTGTGTGAAAGTGCTCACAGTTAGCAGAAAGAACCTTGCTAATCATGGACTGGACTTTCAGAGCTCTATGAGAGAGAAAGGGGATGAAGGAAAGTTAGTCTGGTTAGGAGGCTGCTTGGCCTGGCTTAGACCCTCTTTGCCCCACAGAAAAATGTTAAATGGGCATCATTAGGTACCTCTTTCTTATGTCACTTGTGTTGGAATTGAGTTTCTTCTATACTGCTTGCTAGGAGTTGAAATCACAGGGAGCCGAAATTACTTGAGACTGATGAGCAAAAGTCACAGCCAAGAAGTGGACAGCAGTGGATGGTGGCTGAAAACCAGCAGGGCGGCAGTGGAGAGATGCGATAAGAGGCCTTCAGAGCAGTGGCAGCAGCATGATGAGCGGCTAGTAGGGCGGCTGCAGAGAGCAGTGAACATGTGGACGGCGCGTGACCAGTGGAGTGAGTAAGATGCCTCTATACCTCCCGCCATCCAGGGTAAGAGCTGAACTCTGCGGCTGCACCTCTGAACTTAGGTTCTGCTCTGACCCATGGCAGCCACTGTAAGTGGGGTGCAAAGAAGGGCTGGGCATGTGAAGGGGACATTTAGATTGCTGGACTTAAGACCCTGAGAGGGAAAGGACATTTTTCAACCTGCTTGGGGTGTGACTTTTACTTACGGCTTTTTTAAGAGCTCTGCTTTGGTTACTTCCCTCCTTTTTATGAAAAGTTTCCTTTCTACACTCCGACTCTGTGCTTACAAGAGGGGCAGCATTGCCTCTCAAAGGTGCCCAAGGGTGGTGTGTGAATTTCCCAGGTTACTGGGTGGGGAGTTCAAGCTAGTTTTGTGTTGGATAAATGAAGAAGAACCCCTATTTATTGAACCCAGCCCTGGCGGCTGCTGGCTGCACCTGGCAGAAGAGTCACACCGAAATTTGACCTGATGCTATGAATAAGCAAAGGACTATAGTCTTCAAGGCTATCAAACTAGCAACTTTCACCAGCCATTAACATTTTAATTCAGGAAATCACCCTCCTCTGCCCCCGCCCCAAACAGACACAATGAAACAGAGCGATTATTTAGGGTAAGCTGACATCATGCTGGGAGTGCAGGGATAAAAAAAGTGTTCATGGGGTGGGAGTCTATAGGCCAGGAAAATAATCTGTACCAGTGCCCAGTTTCAGAATGAAGCTTGAGACGACAATATCCCCTGAGTCCTGTTGTTACCATCTCAAGGACCTTTTGACTGGAACAGGAATCCTCAGCTGCCTGACTTATCATACCCCGTCTGCTTTCCAAATCACACCTTCATGCTGGTGTGCAATTGTGGGTTTCTTTGGCTCTTTACAGAATATGGAGACCCTGGAACTGCGCCTTGTTCCTTCCCTTCATATTTCCTGGCGCTTGCTTAAGATCATGGTCCCTACTGGCTGTCCAAGCCTGATACATTGCCTTTAAAGATGCGACCCAGATGCCTCACTCAGACTCAGACCTGCATTTCTCCAGATTTCAGAGTTTGGTACACATCCTGGGGTGTGGTAAGATTTTTTTTTTTTCCTTTTAGAGATAAAGCCACACACATTGTGTGCAGTGGGGCAAAGGGTTGGATGTTTCCTTACCATTCCTCCTTCTATTCACAACCCACAGGTGTAAAACATACAGAGGTTCAGAATTCAGAGAAAATTAGATGTTTCACCAAACTCTTGTGAACCGCAAAGTTTGGGGCATTGATTCTATTGTCTATAGGTTCTTCTCCTCCGAGTGGGGTCTGAGCGTCTTCCAGTTGTACAGTGAACAATGTGACTAACACCTGTCATGTGTAGTGCCTCTCCCCAGGGGGAGGACTGTGTGTGCTGCAGGGAAGTGTTTGACTCTTGTGTGTGTTTTTTAATGTCCAGACTACTCTGTGTTTATGTAAGACAACAAGATATATGCAGCGTTGCCCAAGTCTGGGACTGACCCAGGGTGGTGGGGGCCTTGTGGTCCACCTCCCGGCTTCTCCCCAGGGTTGGCCCAGGGCAGTGTGGGTGTGCAGTCTCATCAATAGCTGGTCTCTGGGGGCAACCTGAGGTGGCAGAGGCCGAGCAATGGCGAACAGCTGCTTCCTGTGGGAGGCCAGGGTAGCATGAATGGTGCTGCTGGCCAGCACCAGTTCTCGCAGGCTGGGCACTTGCCTTCCCCTTGTGGTCATCCTTGAGTATAAATCTCCCTTCTATCACACCCCTCCTGTTCCATTTGATGGGAAACAAATCGCATTCCTTGCACATTCCGTTGCCCTGGCAAAACCAAACCATGACCTTGCTTTAGGTTATGATATGAGGAAACTGCCTGCCAAATTCAGTGGTCCTAGCTCTTACTGTTCAGGAGGAGTTCTTGAACAAACAGACTCACAGATGGGCAGATAGAAACACAGACAGACAGATGCACAAACTCTAATATATATAGTAGATAGAGGTCAAAGCTGGTATTTTTGGCACGGGGTGGAGGAGGTTTGGGAGGGTTCTAATTCCTGTGGGAAATAGTTCCATATTCAAATCTGGCAAAAACTGACTAGTGTGGGTTAGGAGGAGAGGGATTATAGTTTTTATCCATATGGCTTTAACTGTTCCTAGTAAAACTCCTTTGGATAAACAGAGCAGTTGCCTTATCAGTGGTGATATTTCTTACTAACTGGTGCAGCCATCCAACTACGTTTTGCTCATTCAAATTCATATTGGCTTCCAAGTGAAACTGACATCAACAACCAAAAGAGAAGTCCACTGAGATTCCTCTCTAGCAAATTACTGCAGTCATCACGCATATTGATAATCACCTGAACTGTGAGGGGCCTTGGCCTAATTATCAGAATAATTAAAAAAACAATTCGGCATTCTGATGATTAGAAAATCAGTCAGCTGTAAGAAAACACCGTTTTGGAGTGGCATCTCTTTTGTTGCAAAATTGCAACACTTTAGATATGGTTGATGGACGGTGCTCACAGCAATCTATAAAACCTTGTTTCTTGCAAACTGATTACTGGAGTGCACTATTGATGGGGATACAGTGTCGTAACTTGGGAATTTAATATGACTCACAAATTCTGCACTTGGGCACTTAAATGAACACTTAATCACTTGAAATGAGTAATAGGGCAGATTTTCTATTAAGGTCTGGACCTGATATGCAGATGCTTCGGCATGCAAATGCACCCACTGAATTGTGCTCACACGTCTGTGTCTCATTTGCAAGCACAAATACCATAATTTGGCTTTGCAGCTGTGGTGACAGTGCATCTAAAATTACCACCGGTGTCTAGCTCTTCGTTTGAGCAGTCAGCCGTCGGGATTCCATGTGTGCACACAACTTCTGAGCCCACAGTCAATTAGCATATTAAATTTGTGGTGAATTTCTTGTGTCCTCCCCGGATAGGTGTACTCTTCGTGGTTCCCAGTAATAAGAGTGCAATAGAAATAAATGAGACATCGAGGTAATAAGAACATAACAACGACCATACTGGGTCAGACCAAAGGTCTATCTAGCCCAGTGTCCTGTCTGCCAACAGTGGCCAATGCCAGATGCTCCAGAGGGAGTGAACAGAACAGGTAATCCTCACATGATCCATTCCCTGTCACCCACCTCCAGACAAACAGAGGCCAGGGACACCATTTCTATCCATCCTGGATAATAGCCATTGATGGACATCTCATTGGCTTCCAGGATAGAGGTAGATCCTTAGCCCCTGCTGTGGTGTCTACCTGAATCACTTATTTCCCCAAACCCTGTCGACTGAGTTTAGCTTGTGTTAAAGCAACCAAGAGGGAATGATGCTGGGATTGTGTTTCATTTCAATTCTTTTCTTTTGCCCCCTAAGCCAAAACATCCTGCTGCCCTGTTGCTGGTCTCCCTGGCAAAACTCCAGTGGTGTTTCTCTGGGTTTTTTAACTCCTCTCAAGATGCACAAAAATGTTGCCTGGCAGAGCCTCAGCTGCTGTAAATCAGCAAACTGCTGTTGTCTTTGCAGGGGCTGGCCCCTGGCCTTGGCTGAGAAATCCTGAGCTGCTGTAAAGTGACAGTCTAATAAGTGCTGAGCATTAGGAGCAACCTCTGATGGAGGGCATTGGAGCTGACCCTTCTCGGGACCCGGATCTAAAAGCATATTTCATCCCTTCCCACTAGTCCCTGTTTCTTCTTACCCAGTTGCAATAGCGTATTGTTCTTCCTGATGTTAGTTGAGGAATGCGATGAAGGGAACAACCCCTTTGCCTGTTCAACTGCTCTAATGTCAGAAAGGATCTGGGAGAAGGGATACACAGTGAGGTGGCAAAGTGTGCCGATGATTCAAAATCACTCGGGATAGTTCAGTCCAAAGCTGGTGGCAAAGAGTAACAAAGGGATTTCGCAGAACTGGGTAACTGAGCAACAAAATGACAGGTGAAATTCAGTGCTGATAAGTGCCAAAATAATCATAGAATACTAGGACTGGAAGAGACCTCGAGAGGTCATTGAGTCCAGTCCCCTGCCCTCATGGCAGGACCAAATACTGTCTAGACCATCCATGATAGACATTTATCTAACCGACTCTTAAATATCTCCAGAGATGGAGATTCCACAACCTCCCTGGGCAATGTATTCCAGTGTTTGACCACCCTGACAGTTAGGAACTTTTTCCTAATGTCCAACCTAAACCTCCCTTGCTGCAGTTTAAGCCCATTGCTTCTTGTTCTATCCCCAGAGGCCAAGATGAACACGTTTTCTCCCTCCTCCTTATGACACCCTTTTAGATATCTGAAAACTGCTATCATGTCTCCCCCCCCCCCAGTCTTCTCTTTTCTAAACTAAACAAACCTAATTCCTTGAGCCTTCCCTCATAGGTCATGTTCTCTAGACCTTTCATCATTCTCGTTGCTCTTCTCTGGACCCTCTCCAATTTTTCCACATCTTTCTTGAAATGCGGTGCCCAGAACTGAACACAATAATTCCAGATTGACATACAACATAGAATAACAGAATACTAGAACTGGAAGGGACCTCGAGAGATCATCAAGTCCAGTCCCCTGCCCTCATGGCAGGGCTAAGCACTATTCAGACCTTGTTGGAGGTACTGTGAAAAGTTCTCTGAAAACCTCTGCTTAGTGTTAATGGGAGTCAAAAAAGCTAACAGAATGTCAGATACAATTAGGAAAAAAGACGTAGTCAGAAAATATCATAATACCTCTGTATAATTCCATGGTATACTTACATTGTGAATACTGTGTGTAGTTCTGGTCACGTCATCTCAAAATAGATATACAGACTGAGCCTCTCTAGTCTGGCAACATACGTGGTCTGGCATGATTGGAGTTAGTCAGATGTCCACCTTTCATGGGTGTGGCCAAGTTCCCCACAGTCCCATAAAGTTTGTTTGCAGCCACCGGTCCTGGCTCTCAGTGTTCTGTGCTGTTCTTTAGCCCCAGTTTACCCCTACGTGTCTTCTAAGAGCCCATGAAGTAGTGGAAGTGTGGGTAATGCTGCTAGACAGTGCCGGACTAAGGGGTGGGCGAGCTGGGCAGCTGCCCGGGGCGCCTACCGATGGGGGGTGCCTGATGGCAGCTGTAAGGGGCGCATGATGCCCCTTATAGCTGCCATCAGGTGCCGTGTGCCCGGCTCCCAGCAGGCTGTAGTGGCCGCCCGGGACAGGGGCCGCGTTAACCCCCACAGTGCCCTTCCCCCCGTGTCTGCAGGGCCCTGCACGGCCAGGCGTGGCCCACCTGGGCGGCCCCAGGCTGCACGCCAGCGGTGGTGGCTGGGCAGCACATGTGCTGTGTGCCTGCCTGTGTGCTCCAGGGGTGGGCTTGTGCATGCACCGTGCACCCAGGCCTGCCCGGGGCGCTAAAATGGCTTAGGCCGACCCTGCTGCTAGACAATACCGACCTCCTGGGGTTCAGCAAATTCTCTGGTTTGGCCTCCGTCAGGTACTGAGGGTGCTGGATTAGAGGTTCAACCAGTATTAGAATTGGAAAAAGTACAGAGAAGGGGGGAAATGACCAGGGGTCTGGAACAGATTCCATATGGCGAGAGATTGGAAAGAGTTGAGTAATGGGACTATGGCAGAGGACTATAAAATCATGTACGGGTGAGGAGAAAGTGACTAGGGAAGCATTATTTACTCCTTCCCATAACACAAGAACCAGGAGTTGCCCAATGAAATTAATAAGCAGCAGGGTTTAAAACAAACCCCGGGAAGTATTTCTTCACCCAACGCACAGCCAACCAGTGGAACTCAGTGCCAGGAGATGCTGTGAAGGCCAAAAGTATTGCTGGGTTCAAACAAGAGGGAGAGAAGTCCATGGAGGATTGGTCCATGGATGGCTATTAGCCCATGGGGTCAGGGATGCAGCTCCATGCTTGGAGTTCACACTGCCAGAAACAGTCACTTGATGACAGGGGGAGGGATCACTTGATAAATGTCTCTGTTCTGTTTATTCCCCCTGAAGCACCTGGCATTGGTCCTGTAGCAGACACAGGGGAGGTGGGTGAATGTAGGGGGCGGGGAGGCAGGCCCCCAGCTGCTCCAGGCCCT